TTCTTTTAAATAATGTGTGTTGATGACCAGGATTTGTAGACATTTTATTGTATCATATACATGTGTATATATCATATCTTTATTCATTTACTTTTGTAAAAGGAAATGCTATATAGTTTATTTATACTGCACTTTTTACCAAGTAACTGTTATTCATCATTTTGAAAAACTGAAGGTAAATCACACAGAACAATGATGGCTTCTGTAAAGCCCATAAAGCCAATGATGGTAGATTCAGATATAATCCAACTCTGTGTCAGAACAAAGTTCATGCCTTTGTCAACAAAGGATGAATATTTTAAAAGTCTTAAATCTATGCATATCAAACCATATAATGTCCAATTATAAAGGCCTATTTAATGTTGAGCCAGTGGATGACATTTGCATTGTTTTAAAGAATAATTCGACTTGGATAAGAATTGAGAGAGATGGATAAGAAGTGAATGTTAGAATAATTTGTCTAATATCTCATGAATAGTTTGGCGGTTTCTTAAACATTCTATCCTGGTGGTTATTTTTTTGTAAAATGCATGTGTCTAACATTCATCCCATCATAATCACCGCAGGGTATTTAATATCACAGAGCAGCAACTCAGCAATTGACACTGTGTTGCTTCTCCGTGTTCACAGCTAAACCTATACACAGTTCCCATGCTCTGTGGTCTCTAGTTTCCCAGTCTTCCTGTTTTGTAGTCGTTGAAATAGAGCCTGAAGTTCCTGTGATCAGTTGCTATTAGGAAGCATGAAAGTGCTGAGATTCATGGTATAAATTGAAACAAAAAACACAGGGCTAGGTAAGATGAGGGAAGAAAGGTTGTTATTGGCTAAATCTCCCTGTGAGGATTTGAGACTAGTCCCCACGCAATACAGGTAAATATTTCATCTCACTGAGCAGATAACTAAAATACCCTTCTACTTTTAAGGAAGTGATAATAGCCATGTCTTTCACTACATATATTATGTAAAATGATACAGTGTAGTGTCTAAATATATAAAATAAAAAGCTGCACGTGGCTATAAGTCTATTTGTATATAATATAACTACAAAATGGTGTGGATTCAGTCAAATAGATCTTGGAGGTTAAATTGGTTCTGGCATGTTTACATAAAATGAATTGTCCTTGCAGTATGCAGTGCGTAGAATTTCCACCTGATTCACTTTTTTAAATCTGTTTTTGTTTTCTAAAAATGACATAGCATATTCTCTGAAGGATTGACATTTGGGAAGCTCTTAATTATGGTGTGTTTTAACCTAATCTTGCAACTATGTCTTATCCATTACACTATCTGTTTCCATAATCTTGAAATGTTTTTAATTAGATTCTTCATGGACCAATGGACTCAAATGTGCACTCTTTGAAATTCAGCAGATTCTATGCTAATAAGCAGAGATCAGAAACCAACAGAGTTAAGAAATGTAAATATAGTCTGCCTTTTTCTTAACCTGAAAATACTGACATTTTTCTTTTTCATTTATATCATCTGGTCAAAGGCTTTTTTCTCTTTCTTCTTATGGGGACGTCGTTAGAGGTGAATGTTGATTAGTTTATCAAATTTATTCTAAAGTTCTTATAAAGTAAAAAGGAGCATTTTACTCAACAAAGCTAATAGTTTAAGGGAAGTACATTGTCCATTAAGTATGACTGAAATTAAATGAAATGTTTTGGAGTTTACCTTATGTCTGTCACTGGTAGCATGTCTTCTCATGTGAGATTCATTCTTTTAGATGGAGGAATGAAATCATGTTGATCCTTAATGGACTTCTGAGACAGTGTGATAAAAAGCAATAACAACAACAAACCAATTAGACACTAAGTGTAAATAGTAGTAGAAGCTTTATAAATTACCCTTTTTAGCTAGCTAGGTTGAAAGTAAGCAAATATGAAAAGCCATCAGGTCCCTCAAGCATGCCATTGTTCAGTGTTCTGTGATGTACGTTTGAAGTGAAGCAGTTTTCAGTGTGGAATTTACATCGCAGTACATCACAATACAAACAGCACAGATAATATCACTATTTACATTTGAGGCATTGCATTTCCATGTAAAACCTAATATAGTTTTGTCCTGTATTCACTGTGTTTTATATCTTTTATAACATTGAATAGTCCATTTATAAAAAATATATTATCATTCATAATTGTGTTGTGATTTATTTAAATAGGAGTATTTTCAGTGAAATGAAATATGGATAAAATATAACTTACCTTAACAACAGGTATTTCTGGGCAAGAGAGATGACCCAGCAGTTAAGAGTACTTGCTGGACAATCACGAATACGTGAGATCAAATCGGAGAACACATATAGCAAGCAAGGTGTCCTTCAAATGCCCATAACTCCATCTCAGAGGGATCCAGCACACTCTTATGGCCCCATGTGCAGAAGCATGAGTATCTACATAGACCCATGTGCATATATTTATGCAGACTTTTAAGGGAAATAATAATTTTGAAGACAAGTATTAAAACACACTTAATTTCCACTGAAATAATTAGCAATTGTTTAGGTATTATAGGTACTAAAATTTTAAAGCCACAGATGAATATTAAGCTTTTCATGAAATACCTTAAGTTCTATTAAAAAATAGAATTAGTTTGGATAAATTTATTGGTTCAGAATACTTTTCATCACTATACAACCCCAAACAGCACAATTTGTACATAAAGAATGAGTCACTGAATGATGTTTATTGATTCCTTTATATTACTTTACATTATTTTCAACAGTCTCACGTGGTATTTGGGGAGTTACATGAACAAATTTTTCATTCTAAAATCTCAAAAACATTCTTACTTTTCATCATCATTATATTATTATGATCCAGTGATTAACTAATATGTCAAGTTTCCTTGGCATAGACTGATAATTTGAAATTTCTTATAATTTAACTGTAAGAATGGATCAAAGTTGAAATGAATGTGATCTTCAAAGCATCATTGCCAAAGGCATTGATCACTATTGCAGTAAAAATAACTTAGTCTTAGCTGTATTTAGAGCCTATGAAGAAATATATTTTCTTAAGACCCAGACAAATAATTCAAATGCTGAACATTGTGTGTGTGTGTGTGTGTGTGTGTGTGTGTGTGTGTGTAGGCCAGCAGACATTTCACATCATATGCCATTGTCAGTCACTCCCCACTTATTTAATTTTTACTCTTTATGTGTATATGTAGCAGGTATGTGCGGGTGTTAATGCATGTACCCATGGAATCCACAAGGAGGCATCAGATCCCTGAAGATTGAGTGATAAACATTTGGGAGCCCTCTGACATGGGTACTGGGAAGCCAACACAGGTCCTCTTCAAAAGCAGTATACAAACTTTATCACTGAGGAATCTTCCCAGCCCCTGGCCCACCCCTTATTTTTTGAGACATAATTAATCAATCTGGAATTCAAGGTTCAACTAAAATACCTGGTTAATAAGAACTTGGGGTGTCCCAGCCATCTCTCCTGCCACAGCCTTGGGGTTGCATACACATGCCACCACTGTTTACATAGCTGCTAGAGATAAAACTCAGGTTCTCATGTTTGCATAGTGGAGAATTTTCTCCCCTGTACTCACATTCATATTTATTAATATGGATGGTTTCCTGTCTTCTGAGATAAATCTGCCATAGAAGCCAACAGCCTAAGAAGGAAAAAATATGCAAATATAAAAATGTATATGCATTTATATGTGTTGTTCATATATCTATATACATATATGTACATATGGAAAACATGCATGCACATGTATATATGCATATGAACACATGTACACATGTATGTTTTATGAGTACACATATGTATATATTTTTAAATCTAGACAACAAAATATTATTTATTCCAAGTAGTTTAATATAAGAATTTAATATAGAAGAATTTCCTGAGACTTGTAGGGAGGTAATACAGACAGGAAATTTTCTACTTACCTCCAAGTCTACAAAAGCCAAAGAAGTTAAAATGATGAAAAGGAGGTACATCTGTAAGTTGCAATTATGATGTCAGTGAGGTGGCTTCTGGGGTTATTCCCCAAATAGAAGACAAATACACTATGGATTTTCCCTTCTGGAAGCCTCAATCTTTCACCAGCAACTCTCAATATCTAAACTCTACCCTAGTGTTTCACGAGAGTGAGATCTCAAGGATCCAGAGCAGAACTGAAAAAAAAAAAAGGCTGTGAAATGACTCCTGGGTCCTGATATGGAAAAGAACAAGGTTGAGAGAATGTTATTGTAGTGAACAAAAATATTTACTAAATGACTTGTTGAAACCTCCCTCTTTGTATGTTTAGTGGCTGGCTGTATATTTCTTAATTTTCTCCAATATCAGGATCTTAGAGTAGATGGTGTCTGAGAGTTGACTTTACTCTGATTTTTATCATATCATAAGAATATTCCTCTGGTTGACTGCACTTTTCTGATATGATTTTTACTAGAGTGGTCACATATCAAGTTAGCAGATAGACACTGTTTACTGAAGATTTCTCCATAACTTACAGATTTAGAATTTAAGACTATGCCTCATAAATGGCTTCAAAAATAATTTTGTGAATGTACCAGTTTCTTCAACTGATAGTGTATTTTATTTAGAAGTGAAAGGATCTATAAAATTCAATATAGAATGATAATTTCACTTTTGAACCTACAATTATCATTAAAATATTTTATACATCTAAATCCAGGTCTTCTGTATATTTAATTTGCTTATAGTTTATTAAAATATACACCTAATTTGTTTCTACAAATGCTTCCTACTCTGTGTTTTGTTCTGGCCGAATCCTTGTCTAGGCAGTGACGGGGTAGTACTTTCATTTCATAATTGTGCTACTTTATTCCAATCTTGCTTCACATTTAAAGGGCAGCACATTTAATTTTAGTACTGATTTTTAGATGAAAAGAAGAAAAGATCCCTCATGACAAAAACTAACTTCCCTTCCTGATGTGAAACTTATGTCTGAATTAAATGTGTCTAGATTTTTACTTTTCCTTCAAACATTAATTTTTATTATTTTCATTGCAGACGTTTGGAACAGAACTCCATCAGGGTCATCCCTCCTGGAGCTTTCTCACCATATAAAAAGCTCAGAAGAATGTGAGTTAACAGTATTGTGCAAAATATGTCATTTTTTAAATTATGTAGGTCAAGACTATGCAGGAAAAACTAAGCACGAATATTGAAGAGATTGACAGCTTAATGACAGTCTGATTGCCCGTTGTAATAATAGCACTTTAATCTGAGTTAGTGAAACCTTATAATTTTTCATGCTCTCTGTAATTCAGTGTATTGATTCCCACAAAAACGGCCATGACATCTTTGGTATACTATTGTCTGATTAAGACATGCCGTCCTTACTAATAAGTTAAGCAAATGGATAGTAGTTGTTTTTACAGTGTGTGATTCATCTTTAAATATTAGGATTATTTGATGTTTTGTGCTGAAAGTTGTGCATGTCTTCCTCATCTCCTGTATCCAACATCCCTAGCATCCTATTTCGTTTAACCTAACCTTGTTTCTGATTGTAGTGACCTCAGCAATAATCAGATCTCTGAGCTTGCCCCAGATGCCTTCCAAGGACTGCGCTCTCTGAATTCACTGTGAGTAGACACATTTTTTTTTCCTGAGGGAAACCAACACTTTCTCCACAAACAAGAGTTTTTAAATTTTCAGATTAAGGGGGGAAAAAACCTCCTGTCTTTCTATGATGGTGTATGAATCCTTAACTACAATTGTTATGAGTGAATCTCATCATCTTCCAGAGGCCTGCTGTCTATCACTAGCACCAGCCAGTTTTTAGGGTAGATATTTGTGTGTGTGTGTGTGTGTGTGTGTGTGTGTGTGTGTGTGTGTGTGTGTGTGTGTGTGTGTGTGTTTTAATTTTGTTATCAAAAGAAAGAGAGCTTCCCCATGGGAGACTGTGTTTTTTCCAGATGTAATAAGGGGACAGGTTATTTTGAAGTGCTCTGACAACTCTAAATTTGTGGTCTCTTAGTCTATAGTATCATGTGTCTGAGCACAGTGTTGGTCCTTTTAGGATGATGAAAGCCAAGTGTAGAGAATAAGTGAGCATAGTCGTGGAGCCATCATTTCATCCTTCCTTCATCACAGGAGGATTTTTCCCCAGGAATAGCCTCATATTAAGCATTAGTTCTGAAGGTTAATGGGACTTTCGAGAAAATAGCTATGCAAGTTTGAGTCAGTCTAAAATAAGTTACTAAAGGATACCATTCTTTCAACTTATGAAAACATTTCAAATTATATCAAGTAAAGTCACCTTTAATTATTTTATAATTTGAGTGTAGAGTCTGGCTAACTTACGTATGGTTTCCATGGGTGTAAATTATGGCTAGCTTCTTGAGTTTCTGGAGTCAATCCCACCCTCCTCCTATGCTACAGTATCTTTCAATAAGTAGAACAAAATCTGTTTACACAAATTTCTTTTATAGCTCACCTTTTAAGATCGTTCTAGAAACATCAATTATATGTTTTTATTAATTTGATTAATATGTCTACTGAAGGTGTGAAAATATTTTAAACAATATGATTTCAAATACCTCTACAGAATTTCCATTAAGGAACTAAAACATAAACAATTTATAATTGGTATTTAATTACTAAAATATTATCATGTAGTAGAGGAGATTGGGCATGATTTGTATAAAATTTTAAGGTCCATTCTTATTATTTACAAAATCTTTAAATATTATTAACATTAACACTTATTGTATATTAGTATAACATTTTATATTGTGCTCCTGCATATTAATACAATATAAAGTGTATTGTTACAACTATACCTTTTAAAAATCGTACACTAATTGAATGATATATTATCCTTGGAGACAAAAGACTCAATTTTTATATTTGTATTTATATATATACATATATATTTTAATGTGTGTGTCTGTGTGTGTGTGCTTATGTGCTCATGTGCATGAGTGGGGAACAGAGGACAACTTGCAGGATTTCGTTCTTTCCTTTTATGGTGGCTCAGGGGATTGAACTCATGTCCATAGTTTGGGCAGGCGCCTTTCCTTGCTGAGTCATCTCACTGCCTACTTCATGTTTTATTCTTTTTCTCACTGTGACAACAACAAAATTTCCATAAAGTGTTTAAGTTTCATTGGGAGTTAGCGTACTAGAATACTACTGCCCTCTGCACTTGGATTCTTCTTTTAATCTTGCGGGAGTAAGTACTCATACTTTCCTGCTTGAGTGCTTGTGGGTGAAGAAGAGAAACAGCTTTAGGTGTATTTCCACTTCCACTTTGTTTAGGACAAGATCTCCCTTTCTTTGCCAGTGGACACTTCAGGCTAGCTGGCCTGTGAGCTTCTGCACGCTCCCATCCCCTGGCTCTCATGTCATAGAAGCACTGAGTTATGCATAGAGCACGGCAGGTGCTTTTACCCACAGTTATCTTTCTGCCTATCAGCAATTTCATTGCTTTCTTTTATCTTTATCACTTCATTGTTTTGTTCTGGCTCAGAAACACCCCTTCATATTTATAAAGTAAGTACTAAGCAGAGAAACACAGGACCAAGCTTTAATATTAGATATTAAATCTTTAATCTTGTGATGTTTTGGGTTTATTCTTAGCTCCACCCTTTCCTAGCTAATGGCTGAGCAAGTTACTGATTTACATGTGCCTCAGTTTTCCTGTCTCTGAAAAGGGGAGCAGAGTTTCCCCTTGCTGGGTTTACAGAAGCCGAGAGCAAAGTGCTAGAGGGAATAAGTATGGCCATGGCAGACTCTTCACCTACCGAACATCAGTTTGGATGTTTCTGGATTTTAAGTATTCCAGAGAATGCCCATGCCCTAAATCCTTAGCATATGAGCACCTTAATTTCCTCATTTTAAATTTATACATTGAAAGCTATCGAAAATCACTGACAGGGCTGGAGGATGGCCAGGTGTTCAACATCTTGTACTATTCTTGTAGAAGACCCAAGTTTATCTCCCAGTACACATGCCAAGTGTAGACACCAGCACTCACATGAACATACTCCCATACTTTCCTGTATATAATAAAATAAAATATATTCTTTATTTCACTTACTGTAGTTTTGTGTCTTTATCACCTCGTTCCCAAGTTCTGTAGAGGCTACAGTAGAGTGCTCAACTGCTGATTTTGAGTTTCCTGTAGTCTTTCCTCAGACTACAGTTGACTAGTATTACCAGTCTACTGCCTGGTATTAGATATTTCACTACCAGACTTTCCATGACAATGAAAACCTATTCTCTCCATTTATCCCTTGTTTTCTCATTACTCTGATTTCTTAAATTTGTTCACTATTATAATTCTTAAAGTGTACATCATTGTTTTTAATTTGTAGGATTAGCTCTTTGAGCATGTCCTTTAATGATGACGTTGGTCCATAGTAAATCTTTTGCAATAGACTGTATATTTTCCTGCATTTTACATTTTTTTTTTTTTTTGCTACTGTAGGAACTTTATTTCTTGCCAGCTTTCAGCAAGGCAGAATTCAAACTGACGCTCATTGTCCCTCAGTCCAAACCCACAGGTTTAAAGTAGATTTACATTCTTAGCTTTGCTGCTTGTGATACAAACAGGAACCTACTTAGGGTGCCTGTATTGTTACAAAGAACCAAAAAAAGTTCCCCATCTAAATAATTGTGCCTCTGTGGATCACACTGTCTATAAGAAGAAAACTAGAGCCACTACTCATAGTATTATTAGTCATATTTGGATTTGATCCAATTTCCTTTTCAGAGGAGACATTTATGTCTTCCAGATTGTTTTAATTTTAATTATTTTCAATTACTTAACTTAATTATTTAAAAAGTATAGCTGCTAGGAGAACAAGGGTCCATTTGCCTTAAGTGTGCAGCCCCTGGTGGTTTTACATGGCTCCAGTGGAGGTCACACACCCAAAACTACACAGACAACATCAATTGAATTTGATGAGTTTAAATTTTTTAAAACAAAAAACAGGACACACGGGAGAAAAGGGAGAGTGGGTCTGGGAAGAGTTGTCGGGGGCGGGTGGAGGGGGGCAGCAAATTTGACCAAACTACATTGTAAAAAATTCTCAAGGAACTAATGAAACATTAAAAAAAAAAAAGCACAAATTCTCATTGACCTCCTCACACTTTATATTTTTTATGACTTGTCTTTCCTCATGTTTATATATTTTATCTTATTTTCTTGACACTGATTTGGCTTTGGATAATGTTGACTCATTTCTCTGCCTCTACCATTTTCCCTCCATTGTCATGTGAGAAAGGTGATTTTCTCTGTAATTCAATCTCTGTATAGGTAGACACAGCAGGATCCCTGGATCCCTGGTGCTGACCAAACAGCCCTTCTGGATGGGTGAGGGCCTGGTTCAGTGAGCCACTAGGACTCAAAATCTAAGGGGTGGAAGTGATTGAGGACACTTGATCTTGGGCACTGGGCTGAAACTCACATACCCACATGTGTACACACACACACACACACACACACACACACACACACACACACACACACAACACAACACACTCCACCCTGCCCTCACATGGCTACACATTGGTAAAGAAATCTCATAGGGTATTTAGTATTTGTTGATTGGTATTGTTTGCAGTTGATAGACCATATACGAAGAACATCTCTCCAGTGTATTTCCTGTGTCCCTGAATGATTTCTTCCTTGCACTGCTATTTTCCCATTTTGTTTGATACTAACAACATTGATTTAGTAATGTTGTAACATGATCCTTGACAATCCAAATGATATTTTGAAAAGAAAATGGTTCCATGATAAATTTATGACATTTCTCCTACTGAAACCACCGTAAATGCTTCTCCCAAGTAAACAGATTGTTAAATGATTCACTCTTTGATTTTTTTAAAGTGGAACTCTCAGGATTTATGAATATCTTTGTTGATATTTAAATATCAGTTGATTAAAAGACATGAAATTTAGTTTTCAAAATTACACTTTGTAATGTTCCTTGGACATAAGAGCCATCCATCTAGGCCATATCCGTTGTATGTTGGCAAGTGACGGACATTTACAACTCACTTGTTGAATTTAGTTGAAGTGGGTACCATGCTTACAGCCTAGCAAACTTGCGGACACATGCAAGGTTACAGTGGCTATTGTTTGATGATTCCATTTAGTTAAATATTGTGAGCTGATGTCATAGTAATCTGCCCAGGTGTATCTCCTCCTGCTTTCTTTTATTCTTGACCTCAAAGCATACATGTGCCCTTCATTGTTCCTCGATCCTCACTTCACCCACTCTCTCTGACAATACAGCATTTTTCCTTCTTTTCTTTGATTTTTTTAAAATAAATCACTTCGTCTCTAATTGATTGGTTTGATTCTCTAAAGAAAATCTCTATCTGTATTCTTTATAAGTGACTTTTTTATGTGTGCTTTAAAGCTGTAACACTGGCATCTGAACAAATGGACTGTCTCCCTATGCTATGTAGCACCCTGTTTATTCATTCCTTGGAGTGTTTTCTTCCTACTTTGTAATACATCCCATCTCTCTCTGACATCTTAAAAGGTGAACAGTATTTCCCTCACTCTAGTAATTTCTTTCTTACTGTATGTTCATCCTTCATACACCAGAATCATTTACTAGTGTGAAGCAAACTACTCATTACAAATCATTTTTCAGTTTTTCCTTTGTATGCCATGACACTCATCTATCATTTTCCCAACAAATATATTTCCAAACCTAACGTTATGTTTATTGTAGGCAATGCGCAAATATAACGAAAGTAGGTGGATTCAAATAACCTCTAGGAGACAAAGCACTCTCTACTGCTGGGCGTTGGTGGCACACACCTTTAATACCAGCACTAGGGAGGCAGAGGCAGGCAAATCTCTATGAGTTCGAGGCCAACCTGGGCTACAGAGTGAGTTCCAGGAAAGGTGCAAATCTAGACAGAGAAACCCTGTCTCGAAAAAACAAACTAACAAACAAACAAACAAACAAAAAGCACTCTCTACTTTGATTGTGAATTTGTATGCATATATTTCTAAAGAAAATTTATATGATATTATTAATAAAATATCCTGCATTTAAAATATCTAATATTGTATTATAAATACTTCCATGTTACTAAGTATCTTTTAAACTTTAACTTTTAGACATATAAAGTCTATATTCACAAATTATTATTATAATATTTTGGGCAGTTATTTGAGTTAAATTTTCTTGTGCTTTCAAATTATGCATGGTTAAAGTTTTACATAAATTAAACTTTATATAACGTAAAGTAAAAAATACATTATCTGGGGTTATTTTCTTAACTAGACATCCTAAGTGTGTCTAACGCAATTTCCTTAAAACTTACATAAATATGCCTATGATTTTTGTATATGCAGTCAAATGCCTTTTAAGAATATAATTTTTAACTTCTACACATTTTTCTTTCACTCTAGTTGCTGTAATAGAAATTATTGGGAACTTATTTTTAATACTTACATGGTCTTTCAATCATTTCCATTCAACTCATTTGCTTTTTACACTGCTGTTTGACCCTGCTTGGAAATATATTCCTTCATTATTCTCAGCTACTTTATCATTATTTTACTTGTCAATCCAGTACCAGAACCTCACTCTATCCTAACACCTGTGATAGGTAGCAGATACTGATTCGATTAAGCCAAAGCCCTTTCCTTTAATGCCTTCACTTGGTGTGCAGTCAGAAGTCAATGTCCTGATGGCTCATTCATCTTCACACTTGATGGATGGGAAATACACACTTGAAATGTTAATTCATATTCATAATCATTATTTTCTCAGATGTTATGTTCTTCCACATACAAATTATACCTTTTAATATTTTAAGCTCCTGCCCTTATATGGGTTGCTACTTATATACCAGTACTTTAAGCATGAAATCACTCTTAATGGGCAATAGATTCTATACTGATAGCATTTGCTACATATACTGTGCTTTGATTGCCTACAAAATATGTGCATGCACATGTGTGAGGATGTTCTTTCTATGCAGAAAACATTACAGTTTGACAAGGACTGTTTTCACAAAAGGTCAAATAAACTGTGAATTGTTTTGTTTTTGATGCAGTACAAATTATGTACTGTAAGTTTGTATATTATCCATAATCAGACAATTTTTATTTCACTCAATTTTCACTTGGATGCTATATTAAATGCCTACTAATCTCCCTAGGTGCGTGTGTGTGTGTGTGTGTGTGTGTGTGTGTGTGTGTGTGTGTGTGAACTAGTTAGACTTATTTGGTTCTAATTTTTTTTTCTATAATTTTTTTCAGTGTCTTGTATGGAAATAAGATCACAGAACTCCCAAAAAGTTTATTTGAAGGACTATTTTCCTTACAACTACTGTAAGTATTCCATTGCTACGGATCTGTAGAACTTCATATTAACATTTTTTTAATACATCATCTCTTTATTATCTGGAGGCTTCAACCCAAAATGGCCCAACTTAATGAGATAAATATGATTAATGAAGCAGTGATAAAATTGGTAATAGCTATTTATGTGAAGATGAAACTCTTCAGAACTGTCCAAGAATGTTCCTTTCCACAATAAAATGAATGGTTGTGTTCTGGCTGCCCACAATATAATGAATGATTGTGTTCTGGCTGCCCCTTTGCGGAGAGGTGTGCATCCCATAAAACCTCTCATTTTTGATGTTACCAGCAGCTAGGATGGAGCCATAAAGATAGGATGTAGTTACAATCTACTCAGCACAGAAGATCTAACAGTAAAATCCAGACGAACTTCTGCAAGCACAAGCATGAGTACAGTAAGATACATGGCCATGGTGACAGTCTCCCAACTGATCTTTACTGAGGTGTCTCTGATTCCCTCCATTGCATTAAAGACTGCACTGCATAGACTAGAGCTGCCCCTCATTTATATTTAAAGAAAAATTTACTCTTTGTATACGTACCAGATTTTGATGCCATGTATCTTAGTGCCTGATCACTTGTAAAGCAAGTTTGTTAAAAACAGAATGCATAAGAAGGCAGTGTAAGGGTTAAATTTAGTCTGTGACACCCACTACCTAGCAACCTCATTTATGGCAGACCCTACTCTGGAAGCTTTCAATATAAAGATAATCATGATTTGTTGCTTTTCCTCACCTTGCTCACAACCAGTCTCTCTCAGAATTCTTAATTTTGGAACACTGTTCTCTCTTTCAATAGTATTCATTCATTGGCACCTGGGTGATTGATTCAAAACTTACTAGTAACCCCACAACCTTCCTTAATGCAGCTGTTATTCTTTACTTGAGAAACTTATTGTCACTATTATACACAAGTATAATTGTGTTAAACTCTTTTCACCAATCTTTATGACTGTAGTTTGAATTGCATCCAAATACAAATATGCAAAAAGCCAAATGTTAAAAGAAAAATTACTGTGTGTATCATTCACTTCTTGGCACTATATAATCTACTCAATTTATGATACATACATTAGTAAGTAATGGTACATACTGCTCCTGTGAGCTAAATGATCATTTAAAGGTTCTAACTCTTTGAAATTAATTTTTCAATGTCTTATTTAATAAAATGACTATGCATATTATATATCATAAATGTTTTTGCATATTTTAGTTATAATATAATACTATCGCCAAATATTGCTACCACATTGATAACATTCTCATTTTCCAAGAACATACTCCATGCCCAGTATCCTCATTTGTTTTTATCATCATTGAGCTATTTACCATTAACACTCAAAACTGAGGTATTTATGGTTACTGTAACACATGTGTGAGTAAAGCACAGAGATCTGCATGTAAGAAAACATTATTTATAAAGCTATTGTTTTTAATATCCCAGCTCCCAGCTCCCAACAATGGCCCATTCTTCAGCCTTCCAGGATTTAAAAAATAGGTTATCCCAATCCTTTTGCAAATAGCCAAGAACATTATGACGTGGAAGGTTCTTAGCTTTGCCTCCTACCAACAGGTGGGTGGTAGGAAGAAGAAGGAAATTAAGGAAATATGGCTGGTTTGTCTTTAGTCTTCACACCATGCTGTTTTAGAATGAGCACTGACCTCTCACAGAAACAACTGCTTTCAACAACCTCGTCTTTAATATTTATTCTCCAACTCCTTTATTCAGTCAACATATGAATTAAGTAACATTATCAGCATTGCTTATATTAATGCCAAGGGTGGGACGGTATGTATTTCTTGAAACCATCAACCCTGAATTTAAAAAAAAAAAAAGTCCAGGGCTTTTAGGAAAATTTTAGATGCATCATAAAGAAACCTAAATCTTCAGCTCCTGATGGGTGAACACAAAACAGGAATATCAGAAGATATTTATATTTAAATATAAATCTCACATTAAATATTTAAATCTCACATATTTATAAAGAATGTAAAAAAGTGAAAGCCAAACATTCGTTAGCTGTAAACATTTATTGTCAATAAGAAAACTTATTCATTATGTTACATAATGAGAATTACTCAAACCACATAGCAGGTAATTTTGAGCTATTATAATGGTTTAAGTCTCTAAATAAAATTTAAAAAGGTAGAGACAGAGAACATTAAACAAGTACCACAAAGATGGCTAAGCTGTATTTAGAGGAATGTGCCACTCAGCTTGAAACAGGTAATGAGACCATGTAGCATTACCTATGGTGCTTAAGAAGTCATAGAGAGGGCAGCCTATGCCAAAGTAGAAATTATATTCCAGAAAAAAATTATAGCACCAATGATAAGACACAGTCACATATAACCATTGTATTTAACCTACATGAATAATGCCCACCAGTGGATGATCTCTAAAGTACACTTTCACAGTAGGTGATTTAATCTAGGGAAGAGTGAGAATGTAGGATATTGTGTAGAGCCTTGAATGTAATAGTGTAACTTTCCTATCCAGGAGAGTTATCAGGTAGTCATGTGACAGCAGATAAACTTGAGCATGTAGTATGTAGTAGAGGTGTGTAAACTATGAGGGAACAAACTAAAAAATACCCACATTCTAGGTACAAATGACAGTCACTGGTAACTTACATACACACACACACACACACACACATATGTGTGTGTGTGTGTGTGTG